TCATCCAGAAATTTGACCCTGACCTGAGTCACCTGTCCCCTTGACCCAGTTCGTCCCATTACCTTCACCACGACTGCAAGCTTCACCTGAGAATCCATCCTGCAAGGAAGTCACAAAAGTGAAGCACAGTTACTTGAAAAGCAGCCGGATAAGACAAGTTCGAACCTACAATTGAATAGCTTAGCAAGGAACCATCAGCCCAACTCACAAAAACAGCAGCATGCACATCAGGGGAATGAACAGAAATCACAAGGTCAGGTAGTCTCAAATATAAAATGCTGGATCATTAACCACTAATCTCTGTTACTAGGGGTACTGGAAGATAACAAGGGTAACAGAAAAATTATTATGTTATATATATTCCAGGGTACCTATGGTCAGTGTGGTAAACAACCTTTGTTTACCAGAAATAATTTAAGTTATAATAGTTCTACCACAGCAGCCTGAATTGAAATTAACCAATAACCACCAATCTCTGTTACTAGGTGTACTGGAAGATAACCACAAGGGTAGAAGGAAAATTATTGTGTTAATTCATATATTCCAGGATGCCTAGGATCAGTGTGGTAAACAACCTTTGAGAACACCTGCTGATGAATAATGTCAGGTCACAGATGATTCTGAAATAAGTTGACAAATCAACCAAAGTCAACCCAATTGAACAAATAACAACATAGCAACCACAAAATTAACAACAAACTAAGACAATAAGCTTCGCTGAACTCAGTCTGGTAAAAGATTAGCAATTTGCAGTGCAATTATCAAAAAATCAGGGATTACCCATGTGCAGTGGCAAGGCGGTATTAATCAGAAAGGGCAGCCAGGAGACAACCATGAACCATACAAAGATAAGCAATCCCATAGTATGAAGAACTTCATTCCAAAGGATGAATCAATTCACAAATGGCACGTTCCAAGTATAAATCAAATAAGGATTCCTGGGGCATTGAAACAGGACTTGAAATACTACTCGTTTCTCAATCTCTCATCAACTTCCTTGCAACCACAAACACCAAATAGAATTTTCTAGTCTTACTGCTATTTAGTATTGACAAACAGTCCATTCATCAAACCAAAAAATACTCATTAAAAAATCCCACCCCTTCTATGATGGAACACACAAAGCATCCAATAAAATGTTGGAATATGAATAACTAGATAACTTATGGGGTGCATTTTGCCAGAGTCATTGTCTAAAAGAACCACGTGCTAAACCTCTTATAAAAAAGTTGCTAAACACTATCAGACAAGCATCACGCCTGGTTGCCAACAAGCAAGTTTCAGCATGGTGTCCATATATAGAATGGCTAGAACATATAGTCTTAATATGTCTTGTGACACAGATAGGTAGTGCTGCATGCGAATGGAGAAAATTCAGAATCTTACAAGAATACTAGAGTCTACATATGAAAAAAAGGATTCATACATACTAAAAATTTTAATACTATTGACATTATTCTGTTGTTTTGAATTCTGAAATCATGTACCAATAGATGAAAGATCTAGAAGTTTACTTTTGTTAAGTAACACTCTATAGGAAAACGACATTTAGATTGATTGTTCACTTGAGAGAGAAAAAAAAAAAAAAGAAGGGGAGCCGTGTTGAGAAGAGACCTGAAGAGTCAGAGGGTCCAACACAGACAGTTAAAATAGATTGGCCAAATCTTCATATATATCAACAAAGACAATGACACCCATAATGTAATTGGTAAAAACTTGTCAATCATGCTTGGTACCAAACAAAAAAAATATATCATCAATATCCTGTGGCTTTATTACCCTTCAGATAAATAATAAACTAAGCAGGATGCATTTCTCATTATGATATGATGAAGATTAAAGTATATTTTCAATCTCAAGTACCCAAAAGTATTCATAAATGGTTTGTTTGCACTCCAGTACCTAGAGATATTAGATGCAAACCATTATCACTATTTACTGGTAAAAAGCTATCAAGATTCGAAAACATTGTCTGAGATCCATTGACAATAACCCCTACCAGGACCCCTTTCTGTTGGAGAACTAACAGATAAAAGCAGCCTAGGTGATTCACATGCTACTCATCATCTTTGCAACTGCAACCCCTTGGACCTTATGAGAAGATACATGAAAGATAGCATATTAAAAACCACACGAATCAGATCCCCTTGCCAAGTCAAAACATATGATTCAGAAAAGAACACCAGATCCACCATTGTCTATCTAATCCACACACAACACAACATCGTATTCTGTGTCGAGCACCATTCTCAGATGCAACACAAAGCTTCCAAGCGATAAAAAAATTGAACTAGTAGATCTAATCATGCTTCGAAGTATAGCACTAGTGAGAAAGCAGGAAAGAAAGGAAAGAACTAACTTCGCACCTGTGCTCGGATTGGAGAACGCAAAGTTCAAAGAGAAGAAGTTGAAGGCCGCTCGCTCAAAGCTAACGCGCAACGAACGAAGAATAAGAAGAAAACCCTAGCAATTGATCGGTTAAGAGGGTTTTGAACCTTGTTCGGTCTCGCATGAAATGACGATCGCGTCCACCAATTTTGTTTACACGTCCATCCTGAAAGGGCATGATGGCCATTTTAGTATTAGGGTTGCTTGTTTGATTATAAAAAGGAATTCAGAGTGTTCGGTAGGGACATGGATCAATCCGAACCCGAACCGCTCATACCCACCCCGTCCCAAACAATATGCATATACTCCCCTAAAGACCGAAAGACTATTTTACAAACAAGAACATTGCAGCTAATGTGGAGATAGTGCTCAAGTAAAGAGTCTAATCGAAAAAACAAAAGTACCTCCCACTCTTAAGGCCTCGTTTGCTGTTCGGAAGACATTTATTCGGGTAAGTGCATCAATCAATGTTCTTTTATTTTTTGGGAAATAAGAAAATGATCATTTAAGTCGTAAAAAACCCATGATTAAAAAGGGCAATTTTGTCCCATCCAAATGTTAGCAACTTTTTCCCAATGCCCCATTCATTTACTGTTATATTGGGGTGAAAGTTGGTCAAAGGAAAAGTTGACCAAATTTCCCATGTTCTTTTACAAATACATGTGGGGCCCATATAAAACACAGATTCCCCCGTATAAGTATTTTGGCCATTTACTTGGGAAAACCTTACCCACCTCAGAGGTGGATAAGTTACTTTATCATTGTGGGGTGATTTTGTTAGTCGAAAATACCCCTATTAACAATTAAGCAAACCAAAAAAGAAAATTAATTTTGAAAAGAACTCACATATGATGAACTATGCAGATCTCCAATTACCACTTTTGGATCTGCTAACCCGGCAACCTTTATAATCCACCATCCCTTGTACCATATCTCCTCCACCTCCCAGCAGTGGAGATTCACTTGCTGAAGCATCACACACCTCCATTCTTCCGAGGCCTCCTCCTCCTCTCTCTCTCTCTCTCCCTTCTACGCAATCAACAAAGAGAATTGAGGAGAGACAAAAGGGTAATGTTGGTAATAGTGTAAAAAATTAACCTCTTACCCAATAAAGTTGGTGAGACAAAAGAACATGAGTAAGTTGAAGTGTCGCATTTACCTAGGTAAATTTCAACATAAAGAACATGGGTAAATAAACTTACTTGGGTAAGTGAATTTACCCAAGTAAGCAAGATAGCAGTAAACGAACGAGGCCCAAGTGGGAAAGTTATTTACCCATAATACCTAGGGAAAATAAATTTTCTACAGACACCACATAAAACTAAAAAAATGAATATGTGTACTTCATTCAATGGGAACCAAAATCTCATTGACCACCTTTCCCCCCTCTCAAAATCTAAAAAAAAAAAAAAAAGATAATAGGCCCTAAGAGAAAAGGGAAGAGATGAGGGTGGAATGGGATGACCTGAAGAATGAAGATTTAGAAAAAAAAGAAAAAAAAAATAAAAATGTAAAGACACTATGTTTTGGAGAGAGCAAAGTGTAGTGTCAACACCCTATTCACCCCAAACACCCGATCAGACCCTTCTGTAAAACACATAAAAACCCAAAAAACCTAAAATTCACCYTGAGAGCTCTCAGATCCACCGCTAAACCTGTCCGATACCAATCCGATGGCCCCAATCGACCCCTACTTACACCTCAACCACTAGATCTGACATAACCATCAGACCCAGGATCTCTCAAAACACCTACCCGTAAAATTTCAACTCAAGATTCTTCTGTTTACCCCCTTATCAAATGAAGATTCCATTTCGACCACCCTCATTAGCCTAAACACTCAGAGCTCAGATTACCTTGATCTTGACACACGCGAACCGATCAGACTACACCTTTAGACTATGGACACACCAAAGCACCTGCTCATGAAGTTTCAGCCCTAGATTCCCTCATTTGTCCCTCTATCAAACCAAGATTCCACTCCGAAACATCCTATTGACCCAAATTCCAACGATCTTGACTCTCTAAGACAAACCAGACCTTATAATCAAATCCCACATACCTCCAAATACCCACTTGTAAAATTTTACCCCAAAACACCTTTGGTTACCTCTCCATCGCACCAAGATTCTATTTTAAGACTCCAGATTGACCAGAAAAGACCCTACCCTGTAAAATTTCACTCGAAACTACTTTGGTTTACCCCTTCATCGAGCAAAGATTCCATTCCGAAGCTCCAGATTAGCGGAACCAAACATTTTTCAGATCTGCCTGATCCGGGCCCATTTGGCCCGATCTAACACCACTAACCAACCCAGAATCCCCGAAAACCCCACCTTATCAAATTTTAACCAAAACTACCTACATTTACCCATTCATATGAAAAGATTCCATTTCGATCAATCCCGCTGGTCTACACTAGCAAACCCCTCTGTGTTCAGACCATCTCAACCCTCCATGTTTTAACCAAAATTTCATCCCTCCATCCAGAACCCCAGTTTGACCACTCTTTGACACGGTTTGACCAGGCTTTCCCAAAATTACAAAAATGCCATTTGGAGTCCCTATAATTACGAAAATGCCATTATTCCTATAAATAGACTTAACTTCCTAATTAAAGAGGAGACACTATTCACTCTCTTCCTCCCATCGACGATTCCTCTTCTCTCCCCTGTTCGAACGAAACCAGCAAGCGGCGATCTCCTCCCAAATCTCCTGCCATTCTCTCTCTCCCTCTCTCTATCTCTTCCTTCTTCTTTCTTCCCTCTTCTTCTTCTCCTTCATGCCATTTTTCTCTTTCCTTCTGTTCCGTCGCAGCGGCGATAGATCTGACCCGTCCTCCATCACTCTTTCCATCTCTCTCTCTCTCTCTCTCTCCTTCCCTTCCTTCTTCTTCTTACACTTTTCGAAATCCCTCTTCCTTTCCTCTTCTTCTTCCCACCGTATTCTGTTTCGCTTGTTTTCCAACGGCAGAGATCCCCTGTATCTCCCGTCAAATCTGATAAACCATAGTTTCAGTCCATCGTTCTCTTTCTCTCCCCTCACTTCATCGCCTTTACTATCATTCTGGATCGTTGGTTCAATCCTTTGCAGCATCCAAAATCTCAGGCTAAACTTCAGCCTAGGACATCACTATTGAAGGACGAACAATCCAAAACCGTAGCAGGTTGGCTCCCCTCTATTCATCGATCATTGCCAGGCCGAAATCCCAATCTGACTCGGGAGTTGCAGCGTTGGATTCCTCTCGCTGGTTCTCATTCGCCTGGCGGAACAGATCTGGCCGTAGCAGTCATCGTTTGTACTCCATCGGTGGCTAGGGGACTAAAATCCCATTCAATCTGTATTCCAGATAAGTATTATCAGAGCAGGATCTCCCTAGTCATCATCGGAGTTCCTGTCACCGGCCGAAATCTCGAATCGAACCGAAGCTCGTCTGATTGCGAAGACCGTCTGAATACACTGTGCCGAGATCATTATCAGGCAATATTCCTCTCAGGTAACGCTCTCCGTACGATGTTGAATAATTGGCTTGGTCCGTAGTTACCTGACATCTAGGGCTGAGTAGGGCTGTTCACGGGTCAGGTTGGGTCGGTTTATTGGCGTTTTTTCAACCGATTCAACATGGTCGGTTTACCTAGAAATAAAATCGAAACCGATCCAGTATTAAATAAAATCGACTTGGTTGGTTTGAATCGGGTTGGGTCGGTTTTGTGAATGATTCTCTCGGTGTGAACACCAACGATAAAGGATTCAAGTCTAAGAAAGCAAAGCCTAGATGCCTAAAAATTAAAAATGATTTGATGGATTAAAACTGATATTTTATATATCAGAAATTTTATATTTAATATCTGAAATATATTATATATAATTATATAATATCTGAAATATATTATATATAATATATATCTAAGTCGGTTTGGGTCAGTTCGGTTTCGGTTTTCACACATGAAAACCGAAATCGAATCGAACCATCGGTTTATGTTTTTTTTTTAACCCGAAACTGATCGGTGCTGAAAAAAAATCGGCCAACTCGGATTGAACCGGACCAAGTTGGTCGATTTGATCGGTTTGGATCTTATTATGAACAGCCTTAGGGCTGAGAGTAGGGGGAATGGGTTGTTCCAGCTCTAGTACCTCTAGGTATCATCCCGGATTTGCAATGTTTTTCTTTATTTCCTTCCTTCATAATATTTGCGTTTTCCTTATTTTTTATCGTATACTTAGGATTAGAAGGTGTGTTCTCCCGTTTTTTCTCTTCCTGTAATTAGCTCACTTTGTTCTTGATTCTCCATGGATATTTTGAATATTTATTATGAAGAATGCATGTTATTAATTTAGACACTTAGGGCCTGATGATTTTGTTTTTTCATTTGAAAACGCTTTCTACTTCTGTTATGGTACATTTTTATAGTATGCTTTGTTGATGTTAGTTTTAGTAAATAATTAATTGTACGTGTTTGGTATCACCATGTGGGTTCC